GTAGAGGAGCCATGGGTCCAGTCCCCTTGTTTTCAGGTGGGGAAACTGAGGCCTGGAGACACACAGTGACTGCCCATTGCAGAGGCATCCCGGGGGTGGGGGGAACTTTCATTTCAGGCAGACAGGGCTTCAAGGCTCAGCTCCATTACATGGACAGTGGTCTTGCCTCCCCACACCTCCATTTTCTCACCTGTAAAATGGGCACAAACTCCTTGAAAACACTCATCGCGGAATCTGTCTCATAGAAGTCTCACTCCCTGCCTCCTATCTAGTCCAGTGCACGGACGGACCACCTGTGTTCATCCATTCAACTGTCGATGGACCCTGGGGTTGTTTCCACTTTCTGCTGGTTGTGGGTCCTGCTGCTGGGAACATGGGCATACGGGCACCTGTTTGAGTCTCTGTTTTTAAATCTTTGGGGTCTACAGTCAGGAGCGGAATGGCTGGGTCACATGGTAACTCTGTTTCGCTTTTTGGCGAACTGTTTCCCGCCCAGGCCTCCTTCTGCTTCATATTGCAGCATCTCAGGGAACCCCATTCACCCAGCCAGGGCTCCCCAAATATTTGTGTTTCCTGACATTCACTAGGGCCTCCAGGAACCACGATTATGGGGCGTGGAGGAAGACCCTGCGAGCTTGATGTGTTTCAGGATGTAGACATTTCGAGGCACGGGTAGGAGCTGTGACGTCAGGCTGACCGGGGTTTGAGCCCCGGCCCCACCACGGGCCCAGGCTAGCCTTTCCCTCTGGGAGCCCCGCTTTCTGCATCTGAAAAACTGGGGTGGCTATCCTCCTGCCCCCACCTCTGTTTGGTAGAGGGTTGAAAGAGAGGACTTGCGGAAGGTGCCCGGGATGAAAGCACCTGCCCTAGCCCTTGCGGCTCCGTTCAAGTTAGCATTGGGTTAGTCATTCAATAAACTTGTTCACACTGGATCTGGGTGCCCGCCTGAGGCTGAGTCACTTCTGAGTCACTGCTGCTTCCCCAGGACTCAGCTCAGGGCGAAGGCATTGGGTGCATCTGCTGAATGAATGAATGGGAGAGAGAGAAGGGGGGAGAGAGAGAGAGAGGGAGGAGGTGGGGAGGTGGGGAGAAAGAAAAAGAGACAAGAGAGACAGGGACTCCAAGAGAGATGGGGTGGGGATTCATCCAGACCTCAAATCCAAGGACCGGATGGCCCCGGGGGGAGACTTGCCACGCTGGCCACACCCCAGTGCTGGGCGCCGCCCTCCCCCTGCATTCTGTCATTCTGTCCTCAGGGCAGCATCTTCACTTTCCAGACTAGGAAACAGCCCTGCGAGGCAGACATTGGGGCTTCCGTGGGAGAGAAGGGTTTTGCCTAAGCAGTGGTTCTCACTGCAGGCGGTTCTGTGCACCCCCTCCCCAGGGGACACTTGGTGACGTCTGGAGACATTTTGGTTGTCATGACTGAGGGGCTGGGGGTGCTACAGGCATCTGGTGGGTCGAGCCCAGGGGTGCTGCTCAACACCCTCCGATGCACAACACGGCTCCCAACAGCAAAGGAGGATCCAGGCTCAAATGGTGCCAAGGGAGAGAAACCCTGCATCAATTATTTGGGGGAAAAAATCAATTTAGGTCCCAGGCTCACACTACACAGCAGAATACATTCCCCATCCGTTAGCTGATGTAAACAGGTTGATCCTGTTACCTCCTCTCTCCCTCAGCTGGTGCATTTAAATGTGTGCAGTATCTTAGGACCTCAGTGAGTCATTAAATTGCAGATGCAAAGGGGCGTCTGGGTGACTCAGTCAGTTGAGTGGCCAGCTCTCGGTTTCGGCTCAGGGCATGATCTCAGGGTCCTGGGATCCAGCCCCGTGCCGGGCTCTGCACTCAGTGGGGAGTCTGCTTGATGATTCTCTCTCTCTCCCCCCCTCTGCCCCTCCCCCTGCTTGCACTCTCTCTCAAATAAATAAATAATCTTTTAAAAAATTATAGATATGAAGTCTCTTAGGTGGTCATGGAACCCCTAACCCAGTGGTTCTCAATCTGGGGTTAATTCCACCCCCCCCCCAGGACATTTGGCAATGTCTGGAGATATTTTTGGTTGTCACAAGTTGTGGGGATGGGTGCTGCTGGTGTCGAGCGGGCGGGGCCGGGATGCCGCTCAACATCCCAGAATGCACAGGGAAGCCACCACTACAGAGCATGATCTGGCCCCGATGTCGACGGATCGAAGGTGGAGAAACCCTGTCCTCAGCACCCACCAGCTCAGCATTGGAGCCACCTGGCCCTGGTGCTTTCACGAGCCATCTCTGGCCTGTTGCCTCGGGACTCCCCAGGGTGATGCTGGGTCTGGGTGCTAAGTCAGCTTCACCGATGGGGCAGGGTGCTGAGTCAGGGACTCACTTTACCCTCTGAAAGCTCACATTTCCTCTACTTCACACCATATTCTGTCACCAGCCTGGGTGTCCGGGGCTCCCTGACATACAGGAAACTTCTGGCAGAGAAACAGCTCTTGTACCCTCCCCCCAACTCTGGAGTGACTCTTGGGAGGTCATTTTGGCGATGCCTAAAGTCCCTGCCAAACCATCCCTTCCAGCCTCTTTACTCACCCCCTGCCCAGGACAATCTGAAATATGGCCAAATACATGTATATACTCAGTGCTTGTTTGCATAAGCAACTTTTGGCACGTCTAATGGAATATTATGCAGCCATTTCAAATGGTAATAAAAACATATCATGGAGGGAAAATACGGAAAAATGGTTTTAACCTTGCTTGGAAAAAAAAGGGGGGGATACACTGATCATCACAGCCATGTGAAAGCAATTCAACCACTCACCAGAAATCCCTCCCTCTAACAGCCTCTGATTGGAATCGGGTTACAGAATACAGGGTAAGTTGTTTTTCTTTTTGATATTTACCATTTTGTCAAACGGATGCCAGGACTTTTTATGGAAAGGAAAAGTGTCGAGGTTGGGTGTGTTCTTACGGTGATCTGAGATGGGGCCCAGCGGTGAGGTTTTTATTCATACTTCTCTCTGGGTGACATCTGCCATCAAAGCTTGCTCCTGGGAAGGGGCCACCTCCTTGCGTAGAAAAGCATTGAATGCTGCTCTTTTAGGAACCAGAGAGCCAGTTCCTCCACCCTCAGCGCTGCTGATATCTGGGGCTCATCCTCTGAGGGCTGGGCAGAGGGGGGGCTGCTGGGGGGGCTGTCATGTACATCATAAGCTGCTTAACAGCACCCGAGCCCTCCACCCACCGGATGCCAGCAGCACCCCCGGCCCCCAGTTGTGGCAACCAGAAATGTCTCCAGTCTGGGTCACCCCTGGCTGAGAAGCACACATCCAGAAGATACTTGATGAAGGTTGACATTGGGGTTTTCAGAAAGGGACAGAAAGAAAGATGAGGGCTCTTTCTGCGGTAATCAGTGCAGGCTGAAGCACACAGCCCTGCAGGAGCGTGGCACTTTGTTTTAGCAGCTGGAGGCGCTCAGGAAACAGAAGCTCAGCAGCTTCTGTCCCATTACAACTGGCCTCTCATTGGACTCAACTTCCCCCCAGGGGAGCCTGCGAGGTGTTTTTGAGCAAGCCAGAAAAATGGCTTTACCTGCAAGTTTAAACTCAACCGGAAAGACTGGAGACCCTACAAAAGGTTATTTTAAATCTTTTGTGAGTCTTTGTTCTGCCCCCAGTGCCTCCGGAATCAGCTGTGAGCAAAGAAGAGCATTTCCACAGGGTCGGTGGGGCCCCGGCTCAGCTCTGCTCTGGAACAGTTTTTGCAAAAGCCGCAGAGAGTGGGTACGGGAGGCTCACACACTCACACACCCTTCATCACCAGCGGCCCCCGGCCCAGGCTATTTACTCGAGAAAGATGAATCAGATTGTCATCTCCCATTTCTGCTTTTTGTGGATTACCAAACGCTCTCAGCTGTTTCCAGGACTGCCTTTCGGGGGCGGGAGGTGGGGGGGAGGAAGGATGGAGGGAGGGAGGAAATCCCAGCCTCTGTCGCAATGGGGCGAGAGTGTTTTAAAATAGGCGCTGCTTACAAGCTATTTTCACTTTCTGGAAACAACTTGTGCAATTGTTGGTAGTCATGGTTACCCACCCGGGGCCCTGAGAAGGGGGAAGATGAGGGGGAACCTGCCACGGAGAGGCACCTCCTTGCCCGACCGAGACATTCGGGGTGCAGTGCAGGGGTCTCCCCTCGATTATGAGGTGGGTTTCTGGAGTGGCCACCTCCAACCACCAAGGCAGGGGCTCTGATGTGATTCCCTCACACCAGGGCACCTGCAGGGATGGGTCTCATAACCCTCCAATGCAAGCAACAGATGGGTTGCTGCAGAAAACCCCCGATCCTTCTAGTGGGGTTCAGGGACCCTCATGAGGCAGACAGACCAGGATAGCATCCTAATGACACCACTCCATAGCTACCTTTCTGGGCCTGTTTCCTCATCTGGAAAAGAGAACCCACCATACATAGCCCTCAAACATGGAATTCATTTCTTCTAACAGGATGGGGAATTCATCCCTTACAAAAACTCCTGCTAAAAGGCAAGACTAGTAAAAGGCAAAGCAGGTCAGAAGCTCAGCATTTCTCCTTTCAAAAAAAAAAGAAAGAAAGAAAGAAAAAAAAAAGTGTGTGTGTGAGGGGTGGGGGGAGCCTGCACACTCCAGAACTTTGGCTGAAACCTCAGAAGCTTCCAGAAAGAGGTAAAGCTTTTTTTTTTTTCCAGCCCAGAGGAGGCCACGTCAGTGGGACCAGCACTTTCCCCAGTTCAGGGGAAAAAGAGGCAGTTTATGGCTCAGGGAACAACCTTAAAATAACTCTCCCTCAGTCTTAAAATGTAGTGTTTAAATTTATAGAAAAACCCACAGGTTCCTGGCAGCTGGGTGCTGCAGCTGGCAACCCAGGGTGCTGGCTGGGGCAGAACACACTTCACCCCACCTCTGCCAGGCTGCCCTCCTGCACCACAACGGCCCCTTCCCCCCACGCCCACCCTACACCCCAGCTTCCAAGCAGTCAGACCGGCGCTGTGATTTTTCAAAAGATGCAAAACTTTTTTTTTTAATTAAAAAACAAACAACCAACAAAAGTCTTATAAAAATGAACCAGGGAGCCAAAATGCCCACCTGTCTTCCTATTTACAGTAATACAATATCTGTCACAGTCACTATGTACAATATTATAAAAAATGTCGAAGACAGTACAAATTAAGGCTGCATTTCTCACAAGGCATCAAGCCTCGATCCTCTAGTGTAGACCCGGTTGCGGGGGAAGACGACAATTATTGCACCATTTTGAAAACAAAACTCGTCAAGGAGGATCGTGGTCTTCTCCCACCGGGGCCTTCAGTCTCTGATGGGGGCCGGGGCGGCGGCGGCGTCGTGGGGGGGGGGAGCCCCCGCAATGGCCACGCTGTGCCCAGCCCGGTCCTCTGGGCCCAATAAATACCAGTCACAGTTTGGGAGGGGGCCGCGCCCGGCGCGTGGGACCCGCCACGGCCGCGCGCGGGTGGGCGGGGGGCGTCCGGGCTACATGTGCCGCTTCATGTGCAGGGCCAGGTGGTCGGAGCGCGAGAAGGCACGGTCGCACAGGTGGCACTGGAAGGGCCGGTGGCCCGTGTGCTTGCGATAGTGGCGCGTGAGTTCGTCGGAGCGCGCGAACTTCCAGCCGCAGCCGTCCCAGTTGCAGTGGTAGGGCTTCTCGCCTGCAGGGGGGGGGGCGAGAGCGGGCCTCAGTTTGCTTCCCAGGGACTCGGCCTGTCGGCCCCGGTACGCACACGCTCCCCGCGACCGTGGCTACTCGGGGGCGCGCGCGCAACCTGCCCCTAACCAGCGCCCCGAAGCGCGGGGGGACCTACGTTTTGGACCTCTAGGGATCCTAGGCACGCGCCCCTAGCTCTCGGACCTCCCGATTCTCGGCGCCAGGGCGCCCAAAGTGCGCACTCTCGGCTCCCCAGTGCTTCGAGCCACGCCCCCAGGGGAGTCCTGAGCCTGCATCCTCTCCCCGGCGTTCTGAGACCCAGCGCCCCCCCAGGTTTCCCCAGCGCGCGCACCCTCTCCCCAAAGCCCTGAGCCACGCTCCCAGGAGGGTGCTAAGCGTGCGTCCCTTCCCCAGCATTCTGATACAGAGTCCCCCTAAGGTCCCTAAGCGCGCACGCCCTTCCCAAGCTCTTGAGCCACGCCCCCAGTGGAGTCCTCAGGGTGCGACCCCTACCCAATCTCCTGGGCCACGCCCCGGGGGGGCGGTTCCCTAAGCGCGCGCCACTCGTCCCGAGCCCAGCCACCGCCCCCGGCCCGCGCTCGCCGCCCACCTGTGTGCGTGCGCAAGTGCGCCTTGAGGTGTGAGCTCTTGGTGTAGGTCTTGCCGCAGCCCGCGTAGCTGCAGGTGTGCGTGGCGGTGCGCTTGCGCGGCCAGGAGCGGCGGCCGCGCTTGGGCTTGGCTTCGAGCAGCTCCAGCGGGGACGCGGGAGGCGTGAGGAGACCTCGGGCGGCGGGCGGCGCGAGGCCCAGAGCTGCTGCG